GTGAGGTGAGGTGGGCGTGGACTGCATAGAAGGTGTGTCCAATCGGAAGGCAGTAGGGCGGCCAGCCCCACGTACTGCACACGTGGAGAGTGATGAGATCAACTCTGCCGCTGATACAGTGATTTGCGAAGCCAGTGTGAAAAAATATACACACCTTAAACTACCTGTTTCCACAGAACGAAAGATGAAGATATTGCACTGGGTATTACAATGTATTTGTAATACAGCGTCACTGCAGCTCCCTTGTAAATCATTGCATGTCCTGTAACGTCACATAATCTGCATTCCAGTTGAGAAATCAATTTGAGTGTCATCTCACGCAGCTCCATTCCACGTTAGATGTGCAAAGGATTACGCATAATGTGATTTCTCCTTTCGTTTCATTTCGTCTTCCAGGATCTGACCTGCACTGAACGATTTAAGGAAGTATCATTTACAGCACGTTTAGACCACATAAACCCTCAAGACATTCAGTAGCCCAACTTCCTTGATATAACTACTGCATTGTATAATGATCCTCTTTTCCGAACCAATGTCGCACAGGTTCCCTGATTTCATAATATCACACAATATGTGGTCACATAGGAGGCTCAGTGGTTGAGACATGCACAGAATTTGAAAATACGCAAATGTGCAGAAAATCTAATTTAGTTTTTTCATTTTTCGTTTTCGTTTTCAGCGTTTTTTTTTATTCCAAATCAGAGAGAGGCACCGTGCATTCATAGCCTAAAGGATTGTAATCGCAAATGCAATGCCAATTGAGCTTCAAATTCCTAATAGTTTAAACACAAGAAAGAGTAATTTTCTGCATTCATTTTTAAGAGGAGCAAATGAGACCATTATATAATGGGATGTACCCAGTTAAAGACATGATATGGAAACTTCGCTGACTCAAAAAAGAAAAAAAATCTGGGGGCTCGCCCTTTGTCCAAACAGATGACTGCGGGAAAGAGAGATGTCCTGACCCGATTCCAGCTGAACTGGAAAGTTGCCAAAGCGCTTGTGTGTACAATGAAGTAACGCCGCCAATACCTAGAATTTGGTTTTAGTTTACCTTTCTTTTTTGACAGTGCAAAAAAGATAGCTGAGTCCCTTAGATTGTTCTTGGAAGGGTCGATTTTTTTCGGATGCGATATGCAAACCACTTAGAATTAGAGACAGTGCTAGATGTAGTCGACACGTGCGATTATAACGCACATAAAGGCCATCAACTTATGTCGCAGCTTGAGACACTTTTTATGAAATATTGCATCCCCCCGTTCACGTGTCGCTATACTGCTAAATGTCACCAGTATGCTGTTTAGTGGACATCTAATTGTAAAGTGACAATTGTGGTTTCCTGACTGGGCACAGAAAGAAACGACAAACATAGGCGCAACGCGTGAACAATTCTGTTTTGTGTCTAATTATAGGCCTACGTTAAATAGATTTTCTTCTTCATATTTTTCAAATTCAGTTTGTACTGTCGAAAGTCAGCTCGGGGTGGCAGGATCGTTTTCCCGGTAAGACTACACTATTCTAATTTTGGTCGGCATAGACAACTTATATTGCATTAAATACAGAAAACCAGTGCGTTAATTCTCATCCCTCTGCCATCAAAATGCATATCAGGTTTACTCACACCTTATCTATAAGTTACAGGCAGAATGAAAATGATTATGATTTGCATATTCAGATAATACTAAGTAGGACACAAAGTATTGTTGCATTTAATTGAGCTCTTTTATGTCACTTGCCCACGTCACATTGCGGTGATGCCAGGAAATTTTGATATACAAAGATATTGCAGCATTGATTCTCATGAAACAACAGAAACCACCAAACATACTTGAGGGGGTTAATGAAGAAACACACTTAAACTACTGCAGTTTTACTTCAGCTTTACTTTAAATGCTGCTCTGTTGTGTCTTGGTCAAATTTCGCAGAGAAGTCTGTGTCATGCCTTGGTTGATGTGTGTGTGCAAAGAGAGAATTACAGAATCAACTAATCAGCATTCAAGACTGACCTGGACTGGCTGTCGATTCGTAAACATGGAAACACAAAACGTTACAGAGAGGCATAAGTGATCTTGGTATGGGCACGAAGAGGAACGTATGACAAAGATGGCAGTGGGATGTGACACGAGGGAGGCCCACTGATCCACAACAGAGGCATGAAACAGTTCCAACAGTGCAAGCAGGGTTTCATCCTTTCCTCTTCCCAGTTCTGCACATTACCTCCATTTTAGCACATTAGCATAATGTAATGGTAGTGGTAATGCCAGAGCCTCGAGGATTCTTCCTCCAGTTTGCGGAGAAGGAAATCAAACTATTAAGTATCTGGCTGTATGGCAAACCCACAGGAACATAGGTGTCCATTTGGCACTCGGCTCTGTGTGCAAGTGAGCATAAACACATCAGAATGAAACACACACACAGAGTTTTTATGTAAGTGGGTGAGAGTTCAGCATTGGCAATGTAGAGGAAAGGTCAGCTGGGGTCAGCGGTCACCCTGTCTGGTCCAATGAGGACTTGGCCCCTACCATCTTCATCAAGCATCTGTCCTTTCAGGCAGAGAATGTTTCCAAAACACAGCTCCTCGAAGCTCCACTTTCAGATGACATCCAATGCCATGTGCCAAATGACTATTCACCTCTGAAAGACAGATTTTGAAAACTGTACAAAGTTCAAAATAATTCTACATGGACAGTGTCCACCAACCTGTTATGCAAGTGGCTAGAAATCTGTAAACTTCCAAGTATATGACATCTAAATTGGGGGAAAAAACCAGTGGAGAGGATCAGCTTTGGGACAGAATGTACTAATATATAGTCTGTCCTGTTGCACACTTATTACCACATAGAATGGAGCTTTATTTTTTATTTTTTCAACAGAGTAAAAAACAGGGAAGCAAAGATCTGTCTCAGTCACCAAGATACCAAGCTGATGAATATAACTACAGATGAAAATGAAAAAGAATTACTCATTCATCAACAGGCAACATTACTGTGAGGCCAAATTTGATCAGATTGGAAAAACATGATTCTCTTACTCTCACCAAGTACTAACAATTCAACTCTTTTCATGCAATACTGCAGAATTATAAACATTTTCTTTATATATTACTTACCAAATTCTATTGACTAAATAATTCAACAAAATTGAATGTGAGCAGTGTGGGGGCCTAAGGAAACCAAACAATCAGAATAGATGTGAAGCTTCATTTATTACAGTGACAAACATTCCAAATTTTCACAACACTCCCTTAAAGAGCACTGATCCAAATCGTGACAGCTTTGCCCTTTGGCTGTGGATTGTAAGCCACCTCATGCTAAAGATCACGTGTATGTTTGAGTCACACAGGCAGAGGCAACTATCTCAATGAAACAGAGAAAGGCTGTTCCAGGAGAATAGGTATCTGCATGTCACACTGTGTGCCAATCAGCACCGTGTTGGCAGAGTTGGCACAGTGCTTCCTGTGGAATTTCTTTGAATAGGCAGGGATGTCTTCCCCTGATGCACACTGGCTGGAGGCCCACGGGGCCGCTCACCTTTGCCAACTGGGTGAAAGTTCAGGGCCACAGCTCGTCCTGCCACTCTGAGCTGGACTTGCATCTGGGAACGGTACGTGGTCAGGTGTTTTCACTGTGTCCTGTGGTAGGGGCAGGGGAGCGGGGAGTTAGGGCTGCTCACGGGTGTCCGTTTCGATGAACATTGCTGTGTCCCGCAGAAAATGGTGAGCTAGGCACCAAGACTGACGTGGAGCAGTAGAGCACCAAGGTTGCTATACGTTCTCTTTCCATTTTCCACACATAGAAGGGCACATATGGCACTGATCACAATTTACACATTGCACTAACACACACAAGCACACACATACATGCACACACAAGTTCACAAACACTTGTGCAGGCACACACATACACACACACACACACACATTTGCACATACAAGTGCATATACACACACACAAGCAATTCTTCAACTTTGCCCTACTCCCCCACATTGAAACTCCCTACGTAACGTTACATAAATAACTCAATCAAGGATTCAGTCAGCTGACTCTGTAGGTTTTGTTTAAGCACCTAAACTCAGCCTGGGCTTAATGTGTGGCAGCAATGTTTAAACTGTTTTTCCTCAAAGCTTCTGCTGCAATTAAACCACATACTGGTCAATGTTCTTACCGTGCGCCAGTCTTCACCAGAACCATGAATTTTTTCCTCGCTAATTATTCTTATTAAAAGCACATGACCTTGATTTAAGTAAAAAAAATGGACAGACTCAGCATAAAAAACTAAAAGGGCTTACATACTGGCAAAGGTGCATTTGAGAAACTTGAAATTGGCTGCTTGGTTTGAATTTAAATGGAAATTCAAAATCTGAACTGAAAGATGGGGGCTTCTCCCTCCCGCATTTTGAGTGATTCCCACTCTTCACAGCAGTGCAGTAACACACATGGCATAAATCTGGACGCGAGGGAAAGGGCCAGTAAACTCATTCTAACTCATCTGTTCCCTTCAGGTTGAGTGTCTAAAGAGCTGGTTTGCAAACACTCAAACTTTAAAGAAGGAATTGGGTGAGAGAACAAAAACACACCATAAGCCTTGAAGATGGCAGAGGCAGTTAACCCCAGGTGAACTGACTGAAAAAGCAGTCTCTACACGAGAGTATCTTTGCCTTAAAAGTGACTGCACAACAGGAAGTATTACCAGGATAAACCCATACAGTCAGCACTCCAGTAAATGTCTGTTCCTACGCATCGCTGTACCATGAACATGTTTACACTTGAGGGGTTTTGTCTCTTTTTTGGCTTCTAATTGGACTTTACTGTCACAGTTTTGTTGACTCCTTGTTACGGTCAGGGTATGTATACACAGTGTTAATAAGGGGGCAGAGCTTTCTGCTACTGCCTGAGGATTGACATACAATCATACACCTGGACACAGCCATTTAGACTAGGTCACGCATTGATATTCATTACAGCTTCATAAAACTGTATGAGGTGGCAGTGCACTGAGGCAGCAGTGTAGCATAGTGGTTAAGGAGCTGGACTTGCAACCAAAAGGTTGCCGGTTCGATTTCCCACGGGGTCACTGCTGCTGTACCCTTGGGCAAGGTACTTAACCCACAATTGCCTCAGTAAATATCCAGATGTCTAAATGGATAACATGGTAAAAACCCGTAACCGATGTACAGTAAGTTGCTCTGGATGAGAGCGTCTGCTAAAACCCAATAATGTAATGCAATAAAAACATAAAAATCAATTTATTCAGTAAGGTTAAAGTGTTAAAGAGTCCATGAACTTGCAACCATACTGTGGCCTGTTTGGGCTTAGATAAGTCAAGTACACTGCGACAGACTTGAGACCAAAAAAAAAAAAAAAAAAAAAAACAGAACATTGATGACACAAATCGAAGAGCAAAAACATACCCCATTACATCATGTCTACTACAAGATCAAGTGACTTAGGGCACGTCCACTACAAGATCACATGACCATTTAGTAACCAGCTCAGAAGGTCAGAAAGTCAAATGAAGATGAAATACAAAACAAACCAAAACAAAGCAAGACTTTAGAGTGTGTTTTTTGGCATGTAATCTTGGACTCGGCATTGCACAATATCCCAGATTATCAGTCAGCTGTTTTGCCCTAAAACGAAATGCCAGGCCATTTAGGAAGGGCGGTGTGGTATTACTGACTGCCAGTACCAATTTACTTTTTTTTTTTTGAGGTGCGTGGGTGGCATTTGGTGCAGACCCCCAAGGCCATGAGAACAATTTACTGGAACAGTACCACCCCACTGGCAAAGTGGTTTTTGGAATGGCTCACAGTCAAAGAAACCAAAAGGATGAATACACCTAGAAAAAATGTGGAAAAAAATGAAGCAAATTTGCTATGTCTTAGAAGTGGGTTAAAAGCAAAATAAATCATAACAATTACCGTGTGCCCCAGATTTATTCATACCCTTGACTAAACAGAAACAAAAAACCTGTTACAAAAGAAAATGACATTTTTTGCTTAAAATTAACAATGTTGCACTGTAATCTTAACATCTTTGCAAATTTGTTTGCAAAATAAAACAAAACATTCTTTCGAAGTGAAACATTTACATTTACACCAGGGTCACATTTATTCACACCCCTGATGTTAGTACTTTGTAAATTCTCCTCTGGCATGGATGACACCCTGCAGCGTTTCTGTAGTGAGGTTCTGGCACTTCTGTGGGGGATTTTTGTGAAGACTGTAAGATGTATTCATCTTGGCAGAATTGCTGTGCATTTGTCAGATCTTTTGATTTTCATTTGTGAACATCTTCCTTGGGCCAGGACCAAGTTTCTGTATATTCCAGCCAAGTCTTCTCCCTTCCAAGACCTGACCATAGCTTTGGAAATCACCATGGTGTCAGCCTCCTGGACTGTGAGGACCCTCGGGGTGACACTTGACAGTGATCTGACACATGCCGATCACATAGTGGTAGTCAGTAGGACCTGCAGATTCTTCCTATACAACATCAGAAAAATCCGCCAGCAACCTAACTCAACTCTTGGTTCAAGCCCTGATGCTGCCCAGTCTAGACTACTGAAATCCCCCCTGCCCTCCATGCATGTGCAAAGCCCTGCAGCTCATCCAGAATGCTGCTACTCAATGTCTCCAAATTCTTCCATGTCTGACCTATCCTGTTCTCCTGGCTATCCTGATATCCTGGCTATCAGTGTTGGCTCATATCTGTTTGAGCATGGTGGTGTTAGCCTACTGAGCAATGTGGGGAATGGCTCTCCCCAATCTTCCATTGTCAGACTCTACGCACTGGTCAGGCCACTGCATTCAGCTTCTTTGGAACTCTTGACTGCCCCCTTCCCCCGCCTCCTCACAATTGTTCATCCTGATTGCACCCATCTTGGCCCCTGTGTGGTGGAGCCAGCTTCCTGTAACAGTCAAAATGGCTGAAGTGCCAGCGATCATTCATTGCACACTGAAGGTCTTGCAGACCTCTTGGGATTTCAAACAATGAACAATTAGTCTAACTAATAAACCTCAGCCCCCTACTCAAGTAAAAAAACCTGTTCTTTCATTCCCATTTTATGTAATATTATGTATTGGAAGTTTTACTTCAGTATATCTGTAAGCATAGTGTCTGAATGGTAGTCTTAATTGCACTTACACACCGAACCAGGTACACACTTGCGATCTCAGGACTGTGGCTGGCTCTGATGGAGGCTGCATACAGTGACTATGTCCTCTTTGAACAACTTCTTATGCTGCTTTACCATTTTGAAAAGTAATTTAATGGGAGAGGGCCAAAGCTGGAAGTGATCCAGTAGCCCAACCCCCCCCAAAAAAAAATAAAAATAAAAATCAATCTTCACTGACAGCCATTAAAGATCTTACATAAGGGGAAACACTCTCGGGTTTCTTATCGCATTTCTGGCAATAGTCGATGCTGAGCTTTTCAATTCCTCACAGACAAGGAAACGTCAAACACACAGCAAACGCTCTAGAGCACAGCGGCTTTTGGCTGTGCTCTAGCACTGAGCTGGAATCGAACCTGTGCGTTGATAAACGAATAGCCGCTCATTCTCGGAACTGGCAGGTAGGAGCATTGTCTGCTGGTGTTCTGAGAAACACTGTTTGCGTTCAGAGTTTCCGAGAGATTTTCGACATACTGGCCTGAAACTCGCAGCACACAACGCTGGCTGTGCCGATCGGGCAAAAACACGGGCAGCCGCTGCAGACAGATGGGATTTCACATGCGCGTGAAGCGGCGCTGACAGAGTGACCCGCTCCCCACAGTCAGTGACAAAAACAACAGGAGGAACTGGAGGGATTCTGTTGGGTGGCAGAGGGGCGCTGCACGGAGAGTGGGGGGAGGCGCAGATCATGACCACCACTTCCTCAATGGCACCCAATGCTCTCTGGAGGCAGTCCAACTGGTGACGGGGAGTGGGCGCGGAGTTCCCGAAATGCAGGCAGTGGAAGCGCACGCTCAGGGGACATGTGTGTGACGGGAACAGCTATGACGCACGCTACTACAGTAGCAGGCTGTGACGAGGCGTCACGTGAGAGCGCATGCGAGGCCAAACATCTGTTTCTAGGATGCAGACATTACCCTGGGTGTGCCCTATAACAGAAAACCTCAGCACTGTAGTTCTGTCCTTGCGTAGAGCTCTCTGAATCTACAGAAGCATTCAGGCTAAATGAGGAGACAGAAAATGACTGACATTAAATAAATGATTAAGTATCATTTATTTAAAGACTATGTACGTATACAAGTAAAGCATTTCAAATGTTTCAGTAGTTCTACTTATATTGGGTGTATAATCATTTCAGTTATATTTTTAGTAGTGACTGTGCTGAAAAATGAAAGCATTCTTTTACATTGGAATTATTGCCAGCCTTTTCAAATGACCTCATCAGTTCACGCAGCTTTGTTCGGGCAAAAATAAGAACCCCAGTGGGACATGATGGCATTACTCATTTTATGGAAGAACACAGAGGGCACCCCCCAGCCTTTAAAACAAATCCCCTGCATTACTAGCAGCATAATGAAAGGGAGGTAGGTGCACCACAGTTAGTGGGCCCATCCGTGTCAACCTGGAGAGGAGGGAGGATTTTTTTTTTTTTTTTTTTTTTTTTAACTTGGCAAGGTGGCGACAGGAAGACACTCTCCTGTTCATCTGCCAGGCCCTCGAACTAAAAACAGCTCATCTCAGAGCCGCTCCCACACAGACACACGTTCACACAAGAGGAAGGGGGAGACACACAATGAATGAATTGTCTCAGAGCACCATCCATCAATAGCGTTTTTTTTTTTATTGTCGGGGGATTTTCTCTCAACCCCCTTTTTTTTTTTTTTTAACAAGGCGCTCTGTACATCCACCTCTCCACTGCTAAGTGCAGGTTTCAAGTTTGGACGGGTGCATGCAGGTGTGCGGTCTCGCCCCAGCCAAGCCCCCCACCCCGTGTCAGCGCTGTCTGAGGACTGACGTACTGCTTTCAGCTTGGCAGAGCTACAACCAACCTCCAAATACATCGACTGGTCACGTTTGACACGTCTGGGCTGCTGTGCCTTCCTGTCCTCCAATCCAACAGTCACAGCTAGACAAACCTGGACAATATATACTCAATTGGACTAGCTGACTCAGCAGTTTAACTGGATGCTATATCTGAATTGGTCACATGTGAAATATTGGCATGTGAACTGAAATATAACTAGATGATGTTTTTCTGAAGCATACAGGGCATGCTATGCTAAAGAAACATAACTGTTCACATGATTGCGAATAGCTGGTAATTCCCACTAGCTCAGGCCAAATTGACATTCCCTTCTTGGGGGATGCCCTTACACAGGCTGACGTACATAGCTTAAAATCCTTCCACAATTTGGCTTGGTTGCCTTGCCCAGGGGTATAGGAACCATGGGCCACCTGGGAATTGAACTGGTGACCTTTGGGTAACAAGCCCTGCTCCTTGCAACTACACCACACTGCTGCCCCTATAATCTAAGTTTAACAGTCATATTTTGCCTTAAACATCCCCAGCCAGAGTAACGAAGCACTGGTGTCAACTGAAACTCACAGACAGGTGACATTGGCTGTTAGGTGCATTTAACAGAAGACGCAGCAGCAGCATATAGTAAGGTGACAAAGGACTGACAGTGTGACATCTAACACAAATGCCCCCCTCCCATCTTAAACTGATGTCAAAGAGAGTGAGCAGACAGACTGAGGACCGAAAGCACAGCTTAACCATGGTGCCCAAGCAGCGACTCAGTCTCGCCCTCCCAGTGACACAGCACCACTCCAGAACATTATCGCTGCTCACGCCTTTCCTCAGCAGAAGCCTGTATCTAGTGCAACTTACAGAACTTGCATTCTCATGTTACCCAATAAGCAGATGCATGTAAACTCCAGGTACTGGAGGCTCCTGTTGTGGCTGTTCCCCACGTCAAGATCTGAACCTGCAACCTTAATGGTTAAAAGCCTATTTTGGTACTAAAAAAGATCATGTTTCATGAGCCAAAGCTCCAGGTCTCTAGTGAAGAGAAACAGTTGTAGTCTCAAGTGCTCTTCCTGAGCCTCGCTGAACAGTTCCCTCTCTC